AGATTTGTCTCTTAATTTTCTTTTATCATCTAATAATAAAGCTTCAAGTGATAATGTTATTAATTCATGCGAGAATGTATTCAAAAATTCTGGATAAAAACTATTTTCAAATAATATTATTGAGTCTATTCTTAATCATTTCTTGAAATTTTACTTATAGATTTTGCCTGCTCAGATATGTACTCCATTGTGATATTAATAATTTTGTTATGTTTAGTTTATATATTGTACAATAAATATTTGAACAATATCCAGAGAATTAATAATTTTCATCCAGATTAATATTATTTGTTAAAATATTACTAAATTCGGCGCAATTCGGCCTTAGTAAATAAAATAATATTTTGTAGGTGAACTTGTTGATGCATCGAAAACTGTGCCTACAATGTTGCGCCGATTTGCGTTTCTATTATTTTTTAAATATTTTCTTAGAAGAAAGTTAAACAAATGGCCAGGCGCAAAAATCTGTCTGCGAAATAATTGAAGGGAATGCGAAAATAATTTTTCATTCTACACTACTGGCTTCGGCTGCATTCAATTGTTCAATATTCAATATTCATTATATTCCTTCCTCCCGAGTTCTTAATGAGTTAGAATGTTTATATGATTTATATGGTTTCGGTGTAATTTTTAATGTAACTATAACATCACCGCTTTTTATCACATAAATAAACTAATTTTTGTAAAGTGCAGCGTTCAAATCATATTATAAAGTGGAAAGTGTTAATTTCTATGGTATGTATTTAATAATCCTTTGATAATTTGCAGTTACTAGCTATAGTAGCAACATTATAATAATTTTTAATATAAAATTTTCTCCATGTAGGTAAATATTGTTTTATAAAGAATGAAAATGAAGAATCAATAGCTTTTTGATATCTGGATTACAACTTTGGGAAACAAAATTGAAAAAAACAAAGCCGTTGAAAAATATATTATTAGTTCTATTTTTTGCAAAATTTCAGAGGAAAAATTGTCTCAAGTAAAAGAAAAATTCATTTTTTTTGCAAGAAAATATCTGATAAGTGGAAAAAATGCAATCGAAAGAAGGAAAAATTTATTTTGAAACATTCAAAGTTTCTAAACGAATGTGTAATCTGAATGGAAATTTCTGAAAATACAACCAAACAACGGCCATCAAAATAATTTGACGAAATTTGTGATTGATCCAAGTGACGAGTTTAAAAAACTGTGGAAGCATTAGAAGAACACGAACTTATGTATGCTGCTGAATTAAAATTACGAAAATCAGGAAGACGTACTGCAAAACTTGTCAAAGAGATCACTTCATCTTCTTCTAAGACAACTCATAATGCAAAACTTGATCATTTGAAAATCGCTCTTTAATTATGACATTTTCTGAAAATGACGTATTATCTCTGTAGAAGCAGACTTATCGAAACATCAATATATGATTTTACGAGATGCTTTAAAAACTCATAATATAAACTGCTTCCAAGTTATCAAAAAATTGTCACTGCAAAGAAAAAATGCTATCCTGCTCAAGAAAATATTGCTATAACTGAGTGCACTGTGAAATTAAACTAAGGTTTGCTGGATCATACTGTTGTACGAATCGTAGGAAGTCAAAAGGATGTTCTACCCCAATTTAACAATGATGAACTTTCTAGCTTAGTTCTGTTATCCAAATGGGGTTTTGACGGAAGCAATGACTACAACGAATACCATCAAACATGTGAAGAAGAATTTGCTGATACAGATTTTCGTAACTTCCATGGTGCCTCTTCAACTCTACGTAGATAATAATAGTAGAAAACGTAAGATTCTTTGGCAAACCCTCGTCTATTATCAACTCGGTACTGTAGACCAATAAAGTTCCAGTTTAGAAAAGAGAATGTTAACTTATCAAAGGAAGAAGAAGCTAGAATTAAATCTCAGTGTGCACTTTTAATTCTCACAGAAGAATTGACTGTGTACGGTCGAAATTTAAATATTACATATAAGATGAACCTAACGATGATTGACAGAAAAGTATGCAATGCATTAAGCTCAACTTCATTTTCACAAGTGTGTTTTGTATGTCAGGCATCACCTAAGGAAATGAATAATATTGATGCGGTTTTAACGAAGCGAGTTGATACTACAATTTTTCGATTTGGTCTCTCGCCTCTACACGCTTGGATTCGCTTTTTCGAGTATTTCTTGCCTATGGCAATTGGAATTTAAGAAATGGCAGACACGAGGAGTTGATAACATTATAATGAAGGCAAGAAAAACTTTATTACGAGATAAATTCAAGCAAAAATGGGTTTAATCGTGGACAAAGTCCAGGAGGAACAGGAACGTTCAATACTGGAAATGTGGCGCGACATTTCTTCCACAATCCTTCGGAAGCTGCTTCCATAACAGAGATTGAGGAGACTTTGATCTGAGAGATATTCTGTCATTTTACAAACTATATCTTCAGGGTACGATTAATGCGGAAGCATTCGATATGTTTGCTATTGAAACTGCAAGGTTATTGATAAACCAATATCCCTGTATTATTTATCTGCGTCCGTGCATAAAATACTTATTCATGGATCAAAAATAATACAGGAAGCTTTGTTGTCAATTGGTCAACTGTCGAAAGAAGTAGCCGAGTCAAGAAATAAAGATTTGAAAAATTATCGTGAGCATGACACAAGAAAAATGTCACGAAAAATAATAAATGAAGACTTAGTCAATCGCCTCTTATTAAGTCTGATCCGTTAATAACAAGTCTTTGTAAACTTCCTAAAAAACAATATCAACCATTTCCATTTGAAGTACTTAGACTTTTGCAGTCACCGGAAATTGTAGAAGACGTACAATCAGATTCAAATTTAAATAACATTAAAGTTTCTTTAAAAATATTTTAATGCAAATTTTCATGAATATAACATTGTATTTTATAAATAGATGAATTAAAATCATTAATAATGTGTTTTTATTTGTTTAGATTAGAGTTACTTTAATTTACTAAACAATCAATACATTAAAATAGCCATGTCCGGCTACGGACTTCATCGGAACCGTGCGTCGTTTAATGAAGGGGAGGAGAATTTTTCTCTTTCAATAAAACCAGTAGTCCTGGTTTTAAATTTTTTGACGAAGACGTCCACTTGTGCCGACGTTGTAATTCCTGCAAGTACTTCGTTTGCCAACAAGCCCACATTGACTGCCGCAATTTTTGCTAAAGCTACTATCTAGACAGTCTATTGTCCGATGTATCCAAGAAATCTGTTTCCATGGGTAGCAACAATAAATCTCCCACTAAAGAATGAGCAAAAGTTAGGACAGCCAGATCTTGCGGATCGTCCCTTGATAAAGCGGCCGAGAGTTCATTATTGCTTCAATTTCTGTCAAAATGAAATAAAACTCTTCGAAAGTGAGAATGTGACCTTAAGTCACCATGTAAAAGTGCTTTATAACCACCTTGACAGCAGTTTCCCACAATCCTGTAAAATTAGGGGATCTTGGAGACATGAATTGTCGTTTGGATCCGTTGGTTTGCTAAATAGTGCGATATAGCTTCTTGCTCCCTTTGAATAAACTCGTACAGTTTTCGTAGTTTTCTATCTACTCCTATAAAGTTCGTCCCGTTGTCGGACATGATTTTTTTACAAATTCCTCGCCGTGCTGTGAAACGTCGTAGAGCCGCAATAAATGCTTCAGTTGACAGATCTGACACTAAGTCTAACTAAGATGTACTGCCTTTGTGGCTCAGCACACAAATATGACTATTCACACTTTCTTAGTATGTCCTTTCGACGACTTTTCCGAATCAAGAAAGATCCCGTGTATCAACTCCAGTATTGATGAAAGCGCGTAAATTTCACAGACTCTTTCCTTCGGAAAATTTCTCATTATTATCTCCTTGCTCTCAGGTTTTAAGCGAAAGCACTTTAGCAACGTCTTATTACTTCTTTTATTTCTCTCCGAATTTTGAATTATCCAAAACTTTTGTCTAATAGTATATAATATAATAGTATATAATAATTGATTCAGGCCGTTATGTCGCTCATGCTTTCTTCTAATGATTAAAATAGTTATCGAATTCTTTGACGGTAAAATTATCGGATGCTTTTGTTCTTCTGTTAGTTGTGCGTAATACAGTCTTCCCCCGATTCAAAGAATTTCCACTTGATCCAAAAATGGGTTAAAAGCTGATATTTTGCTAGTTTTTCATCAGCGATAGTTATTATTTCTTTTGCAAAAGATTCAACCTGCTGTCAACTTAACAATTGCATTTTCTGCTTGATTTAATTCTTGTACTGTTAGTGCGCCTATCATTTTCGTTTGCGGTTGCTTACAGTTTGTTTTAAAACGCAAACAATAAGCACTGACTCTCAGCAACTTCTCATAAAAAGAATATCTCCTCAAAATATCGTACGTGTATTGAACGTTTATCACTGTTACTGTTTTTTTTAGTTCTAGATGATCTATGTCTTTTTTTAATTGCGTTTGTTTCGGCCACGCATCTTGATGACTGAGGACCGTGCCATAGCCTATTATTCTATTTCTGAGATTGTTGAACCCCTTGACAAGAGAACGGCTGGATTATCGAATGATGAAACATGATGCCAAACTGCTTCCTTCGACAAATTTTGAATTTTTGTCACGCGATTAGCTATATAAGTTTTTAATACATTAGGATTCGCTCTTATTTGATGAAGCACAATAGTGGAATCGCTCCATAAGCGTATTTCTCGAATCTGTTCCCCATAAGCTTGCTTAAGTAGTTGCTGTAGTTAATTTGTACAACATGAGTGCCGTATTCAATTCTAATCGCGGCAGCGATATTGTCTTTAAAGGTGCCACTTTATTCTTAGCACATATTAGAAATAATTGATTTTTCTTGCATCTTTAGATACAGCATAGATGCATGCTCTATATGCCTTTTTGGAAGCAAAATCTACTAGATCAAATGTTTGAAATATGTTACCTGGATTTAAATTCCTTTTGATCTTAAATTCGTTAAATTTTTGCAGAATGCAATAGAATTCATTCCACTGCTTTTATATTTCTTCAAATAGAAGATCGTCCCATCCGATTGGAATCTGATGATCTGATGCACATTTGCCTTTAATTAAGATTGGCCCGAGAAGACCCAGCGAATCATAAATCTGCGCTACTTTAGATACTATACTTCTTCGTGTTATTGCTGTTGCAGTATTCGATATATTAACCGAATATTGAATCATATCTGTTGTTGCATCCCATAACAATTTCAGAGTCTTCAATGCTCCTTCTTCATCTAGCTTTAAAAGCTTATCGTTCTCGTCATTTCCTTTTATATCTTCCAAAATTTTACTGCTGTTCGCTCTCCATTTCCTTAAATAAAATTGACCTTTTTCCCATAGTTCCGTGGCTTCTTTGTATAATTTGATAGCGTTTTTTTCCGTCCGCCCCGGATAGATCATCCATATAAAAATCATGTTTTACAACATTTGTTGCTTTTAATAAAATTTCTTCTTGATGTGCCAATTCTCTCAAACATCGTTTAGCTATTTGAAGCTTGTCATTCAATGATTTACTATTTAACGTTTTGGATGAAGCATCAAATATTCTTTTAGTAGTTAAGCTTTCTTAACAATATACTGCTTGATGAGATAGCATATTTCTTCTGGTTCTTCTGACTTTGTTGATATTATCGACATGTGCCCTTTATTTTCATAATCTTTCATAAACTTTACATATTCTTCTTTGCATTTTGTATCCATCTTGAATCTTCTTTCCAGTGCTAGTAGTCTTCGTTCGACCCTACTCTTTTGACTCTCTTAAACAAACTTTCAGTTTCTTTGGCAGGCTCACTATAAATCTTCCGGAAGATGTTCTCTTTATAATCTTTAAAAAGTGTTCTTCACATTTCTTTTCTTTGTTTGTTAATTATCGAACCTCCGATATTTCTTGCATTCTCCAAAAACATTCCAACTATTCTTTCAAGGCAATGTCTGTTAGTACGCCACATATTTTGTCTGTTCTTGGATGTTTTACTAGTTGAAGCTCCTCTCCTAGAATCCAACCCAATAAGAGTTTTTGTAATCTTGGCATTCCTACTTCTTGAGGGACCAATTCTTTTCGGAAGATACACCAGAATACACCGACTTCTATGAGTATACCGATATGATTCGGTTCGTAGAACTCCGGATCTATTAACTTAATATTTTTAGTAATTGGTATCAAATTTTTATTTATTCTTTTTTGTGGTAACTATTCAATAATTGATGTCATAATGACGCATTCCATTTCTGTTTGAAATTTTGTATATAATGATTTTATATTGATTGTAGCCATTTTAGTATAACTAGTTCGCTCATTATTAATGCCACATTATTTGGCTTGTCTCCATTGACTTCAATCCTAGCTTGCTGATCAGTGTCTTCGTGATCACATTAGTTTGTGATCCCGGATCCAATAAAGTTTGGCATAGGTGCCTTTTTCTGTTAGCGTCTTTAATTAATACTTGCGCTGTTGATAATATTACTTGTGATTGTTCGCTTCTCGCTGCGTGAATACTTAATCTTTCTTGGACACTTTCTATTATTCTTTGCTCTTCCAGAACATGCTCCGATTTTGCATAGACTATTGCTGTGCTGCCGATGTTTCTTTTGGTGTACTCTGATTTTCTTCCGTTTTTTCACGTGATCCCTCTCTATATAATAAGGTGTTATGTTTTTTGCCGCATTTTCTACATTCTCCGGCATTACACTCTCTTGAAATATGATCTTACCTAGACAGTTTAGACATAACTAATTGTTTCACTTTCTCGGTTCGCGTTGGTACCGATAATTTTAAAAATTCTTCATATTTAAATACGGTGTTGTCCTTCGCAAATATCGCATTTTTCTTTCATTGTAGTAGCTACATTTATTTTCTTCTCTACTTTATTCATTTTCGCTTGTGATGTAAATTGCTTATTTGTATCTTGTTTTATTTCTATTTTTGTCTACTAGCTCCATTGTACGCGAATATTCTGATAGAAATTGAAGAAAATTTTCTAGAATTGATCTTTCTTCATTTGCTCTTCGACTTGTCTCTTCCTCCTAGCTTCTTTGTGTGACGTAATCCAATTTCTCTTTTATTAAATGTATTAATAGCTCAATGATCAACTGACAATTCTAATACCTTAAGGGCCTTTAAACGTGTTCTGATGTGTATTATTATTTGTTTAATCATTGCGTACTTGCCATTTTCTACAAATATAGCAATTTAATCGGAAAATATAGCAATTTATTCATATGTATATTTATCAATAGCCTTTTATTCTCGTATATATTAGTCAATATTTCCCATGCAGATTCATAATATTCTGCCGATATTTCAAATCCTCCTATGATTTGCAAAACTTCTCCCTGCAAAGGATTTTTTAAATATTGAAACTTCTGTATTAGTCAACTTTTTATTATTATTATTGTGAAACATAGGTTTGAATAAATCTTTAAAACTTAACAATTGTTCATACTCCCCTTTGAATTCTGGTATTTTCAATACAGGTAACTTGACATTGTGTATATTTTCTCCTATTTATGTCTGCTTGCTTCCTCCGTCGATGCTTGCTGTCCGTACTGACTTTTAGCCCTGTCAATGATTTCCCTAACCTCGCTGCTGCTTGATAATATAATGATTCGACTATTTCTCTTTCTGCGTAATTTGCTGCGTCTATCTCTTCTTGCGTCCTTTCTTCTACTAGCTGCTTTTCATCTCAATCTCCGTCTGAATTTCCTCTGCCTTCATAATTCCTCTAACCTGATCTGTCTGGTCTTTGCTTCGTATTTGGATATATCATCTTCATTTTGTACTTTGTTTCGCATCCTTGTTATGTTGCCTTTTGCTCTAGCACGTCTTTGATTTAATATTCTCATATCCTCCATTTCTTCTACTGATTCAGACTTTTTCTTAACTGTATTTATATCTGCTTTCGATTCTGCTTAATATTTGTTATTACTTTGACACTATTTCTTAATGCTTCGTCACTTGTCTCCTTTTTTTCGTTATTAGGTTGCTACTGAGAGATTTTCTTTTTGCTCTTCTTATATCGTTTTTTTCGCTTGCTAATCAATAATCTTGATTTCAATTCTGCTGGTTATTTTCCGAGTTGCTTTACGTTGAGCATCAAACTGTTATGTTTGGGTTATCTCTGGATTAAATGAATATTTTTGCTTTTTTTTTGCTAAACTTAACTTTATTCGTTAACAACCTTATTCCCACACATCTTTTCTCCCACGCCATTTACTTCCTTCATTTTGTTGGCGCGAACAAAGTTTTAAACAAAAGTTTTACGGCTTCAAGTGTACTTTACAACGACGCATTCGAATTTTTCAAAAATGTTATATTTTCGAGCACACCCCTTCCCCTAATTTTCAAAACTTTTTAATGTCTATACGGACAAAAATTCCAGAGCATTTTATGCTGAATATAATAGTATATAATAAAGTCACAGTATATAATATATAAGTATATAATAAAGTTCCGAAATCGCATTTTTGGGAAATGCACAAGAAATATCTCTATATACACGCTCCATTTCGTCTCATATCACATTGGCTGTGCGGGACAACGTTAAAGGTGAATATGATGCAGTTTATCAGTACAGTATCAGTGCAACAATAATTATTGAAATAAGAGCT